TGATGACAACCTTATTTTTACATAACAATTGCAAAGGGACAGAGGTTGGCATGCGTAGTTCGCAAAGCATAATGTGTAACCAGAGCTTCACAAATCTTCAAGAACATAGACCAAAATTCAGCTTCAGTACTGCTCCTGATAACTACTTATTGCTTTTTATTTTTCGATATGACGAGATTTTCCAACACAAATGAGCAGTACTCAGAGGTAGATCATTAGTCATGGATAGACCACCTGACCCAATCAGCGTTTGTGTAAACAAAAATAGAACGAGAGATGTGGCGCAAGAAAATCAAACTTAAGCCCAACGACCTTTTAAATAATGAAGAATGCATGAATTGACTTACAATGTCAACTACATGGCATATGTCGGGGCATGTATGGGCGAGGTAGATGTGTTTCCTCAGAAGACGTTGGTAGCGAGTCTTGTTCACAGGAACAACATTGGGAACATCAACTAATTTTTCATTGGAATCCTTCGGGATAGCCATTGATTTGCATAGAAGAAGATTGTTATCTTTTAACAAGTCAAGTACATATTTGTGCTGAGACAGACAAATCTTTTGAGTTGATCGAGCAACTTTCATGCCCAAAAAGTACCAGAGAGATCTCAAGTTCTTAACTTCAAAGGATGTAACTACAAGGCTTTTCAAAGACTCCAATGCTGGTAGATCATCACCTATGAGCATAATATCGTTGACATAGAAATTAAGAATATCAATTTAGTCATTAAATGAATGTCAGAAGAAGAGTGTGATCTGTTGAGCCTGAATAACAGTATGACTCGCTACGACTTTTGTGAATTTGTCAAATCAGGCCCGTGAGGATTGCTTTAATCCATAAAGAGACTTTTGCAGCCGACAAACTTACGCTTGAGAGGCAGTAATTTCAAAGCCTGGAAGAATGGACAAGTACACCTCCTCTGTGAGATCTCCGTTCAAGAACACATTCTTCACGTCAAACTCTAATTGGGCCAATCTAGATTTACCGCAAGAGATAACATGACTTGAATGGTGTTTAACTTAGCCACCATAGCAAATATACTTCGTATGTCTGTGAGAATCCTTTGGCGGCTTGATGCTAAAAATTCATCAGCACTCTACTGCTTTTTTTTCCCGAGGAATATCTACCAAGTTTCACGTATGGTTCTGTCGAAGGGCATTCGTCTCCTCCGTAATTGCATCCATCTTGGAAATATTTGCTAGTGTTGCGTCAATGATAGCTGGAATTTGACGATCCGTCAGGGTAGTTGCAAATGCCCTGTAAGTCGGTGATAGACTGCGAAAAGAGACATTTTGCCATGGAATAGAGGGTATGTCTGATTGCGTACCTTGCTTGGAGAACTCACCTCCTCATTTTCAATAAGAATTGTGCTTGGGATGTCGTCGGAGTAGATTCAAGATCTTTCAAGTAGGTAGCACGCTCCATAGTAGGTGCATCAGGATGAGTGCGCTGAGTGTAAACACGAAGAGTGGGAGGATGAGATGGTGGAACTACAAGAATCGGGTTTTCCTCAATGACAGGAACAATGGGGAGAACATCCAGAGGAGTAGGATAAGGAGCTGTGTCCAAGATATCTCGCTCTCGCTCACTTAAAGCCAAGATAGGAAAATAGGGAACACTTTCAATAAAAGAGACATCGACACTCACATATATTCTATTTGTGATAGTATTCAGGCACCAATACTCTTTTTGAGTGGCAGAATACCATAAGAAGACATATTTTATTGATCTAGGATCAATATTACTACGAGTGGTGGCAGTGTTCCGAACAAAGGTCATTCACCCAAATATTTAGGGATCTAATGTAGTGATGATCCGATTGATGGAAAAGATGACGGCCCGCACTTATAAGCTGTCCCAAACAGACCCTTAGGGATCTAATGTAGTGATGATCCAATTGATGGAAAAGATGACCTTAGGACAACTGAAGGGATTCAAAAGTTATGAATTTTAGAGGAAACTCTATTGATGAGATAAGTGACAATTAGTATATCATCATTCCAAAACCATTTAGGGACATTAAATTGAAACATAATAGAGCGAACAACATCGAAGAGATGTCGATTTTTCTTTTCGGCCACTCTATTTTGTTGTGGAGTATCCGTACACAAGCTATGATGAGATTGCCCTTGCTTATCAAGAATTCTCCTAAAATAGAGTTAAAAGACATGAACATTATTGGTCTGAAGGACCTGAATTGGAGTTTAAATTGGGTCAAAATAAAAGCACAGAAGTTTGGGAAGGTGACATCAACTCTCGATTTGTTTTTTAGAATATAAACTTACGCCATTCGAGTGTGTTCATCATTCAAGATAAGAAACCACAATTTATCGGTGTAGCTGGAATTGCGAGAGTGACCCAAAGGCCACTGAAAAAGGAGCGGAAGGTAAGTGTGGGGTAGATAATGAACTCGGTGATATTTGGCTAATTGACACGTCTCACAATTGAAAATAGAAAGACTTTTATTAGTAATCATCAACAAATACAAATGTTTTAAGTATTTTAAATTGGATGACCAAAATGATAGTGCAACAACATGATGGGATACTCAATGACTCGAGATAAGCTACAATTATTGAGTGGAGTGTTTTCGTGCTCCTTGCTTTTCACTTAAAATTACTAGCATCTGACTACCCGCTTAGCAATTCCAATTCTCCTCCGCGAATGATGATCCTGAAATACACAAACATCTTGAGTGAATGGAGCAACACAATTAATGTCATCCGTGAAACTTACTATCACATAAAAGTTAATATTTCAACAGTGGAACATGTAACATAGATTTCAGGGTTAGATCGATAGTTAGAACAAACGACCATTTACCAGCAATGGAACTACAAGAGCCATCTGCAATTCTGGCTTATCTTTCTCAGAGCATGGCTCGTGGTACCTGAATCAAATGATTCATGGACTAAAGAAGGTAAAAGATGCGAGTGTCATAGGAATAGTACCTTGACGGACTTGGGAGGTCGATGAACCAATAGAGACCTGATTGGATCCAAGTAGCCTAACCAATTATTCTATTTGACTTTTCAAAGTGTCGGAGGATTCTGGAATGTTTTAGGTTGGAGCCGACTGAACTGTGGTTGGCTCTAATGTCGTAGTGAGACCCGTTGCTGAAGATTTGTGTGTTTGTTTTCCGTGGAACTTCCAACACTTGTTACGAGTGTGGTTGGGTTTATGATAGTAATTACATATACGGTCACCTACCGAGGTGACATGGAAGAGAGTTGAGCAATATTAGAGACCAAAGCGGACGATTCAGTTGAAGAGTGGAAGTGCCGAACATGACATGTCTTCGGCTTTCTTCACGGAAAATCTCGGTGAAAACAACACAAGCGGAAGGCAGAGGAGCCCAACCTAGAATAAGACCTCGAACTTTGTGAAGGTCTTTGTTGAGGCCTGCCAGAAATTGAAACATGTAATCCTTTTATACAATTTTATGGAAAAGAGAAAAGTTAGCCGGAGAGTCCCAAGTGTAGTCGTAATACAAGTCGCATTCCATCCATAGTGCCACCAGATCATTATTATACTGGGTCACAGTCTTTTATCCCTGTTTTGCCTCTCAGATCTTAGAATTCTCATAGAGTTGGCTAGAGCTCCTTACGTTTGAGTAGGTATTACAGACTGGCACTAGCGGAAGGGAGGAACATATATGAACTACTAATTGGTGTTTTCATGTAGTTGATTAGCCATGACATCACTGCGGAGTTCTTCACTTCCCAAGCAACATAAGTCGTGTCAATCTTTGGAGATTCATGGATCATACCTGTGAGGTGATCGAATTTTCTGTGTCCTTTGAAAAACAAAGACACTGCTTGGGACTATTGGAGAAAGTTGCTACCGTTTATTTTATGAGTTGTTATCAAAATGTTTATGTTGGTTTCTGGTCCCCCAGTTTGTAGGGGAACTGAAGTTGGAGTCGATCCTCCGGTGGAATTAAGGGCTCCTTCTGAAATTGGATCAATATTGGAAGAGTCCGCCATGATTCCGATTGAGCCAAAGGAGATGTGGTTAGGATTCCAAGACATTGATTGGTTCCTGCAGTTCACTGACGACGGATAAAGTTGTAGGTAACAACAAGAAAGCTGCCTGAAAAAAAATTCAGGGTAGTTGGAGGAAGGCTGAAGGAAAGCTGTAGGGAGGACTTGCAGGTACAGCTGGCGGGATTTTCCACCATAGGGAAAACCAGCACGATTCTCCATCGCAGGGACAGCCGGTCTTGCTGCAGAGAAAGGAAGCCGCAGGGACAGCCAGAGGGATTCTCCACCACAGGGAAGCCAAGGACCTGCAGGAAGGGAAGCTGTAGGGAAGGTCTGCACTTGCAGGCGGCTGAAGAGGTGGCCGACAGCTAGGAGACCTTGCATGGGAAGGGTGGCAGCTAGGTGACCTTTCAGGGAAGGCCCGAGGCAGCTGCCGGGGAGGCCGACGGCTGCAGAGGTGATTCTGATACCATGTTGAATTTGAGAATAGAGCAGCTTAAAAAAAAATAATAGAAATAGGAAAGGAAATACAAACAGGATAAGGAGAAATAGGAAAAGAATAATGCAGGAATTAATACAAATCCCTGCATTTAAGACAGATCTCTACACAATTCTAATATTAATTTTAGCTAACAATGATTTAGTTCTAGCTTTACAATAATTTTACTTGTGTTTATAGTGAAGTTATGACCTAAGTTTTATATAATGGATAGTTTGAATCTCAAAAGAAAGGTATGATAAAGCTAGCTTATCAGCTGGAGTTGTATTTACATCAAGAAAAGCAATTTTATGTTAATATCTAAAATGAATTGAAATCAATGAGTAAGTTCTTCAGGGAAGTTCCCATTACTCGTTAGAAATGAAAAAAGAAACGTCCTAGTAATTTTTTTGATTAGTGTGCATAGGTTTTTACATTCCTTTTGCCTTATTATTCAGACTCTGCAACTTATGGTGGTCATTTTTTGTTACTTATTCCTTTTATTGAATCCTTAACGAGCTGTATTCACTTGAAAGGTACGCAACCGCACAAGCCTAAAGATCTATCAAAATTTGCCAAGTTTGGAGATACTACATTTTAAAAATATGCAGTTAAAAGGAGACTCTACAGATGTTTACAGAGTCAGTGTTTCTAGTGCTCCCAGTTCTTCCAGTCATGACTCAGGTCAGGATGACAGTGAGGCATATGGGGATGTATACATGTGGGGTCAGGTCATTTGTGACTCTTCCCGAACTAACATTGATAGAAATATCAATTTTTCTATTGTAAGAAAGGATATTTTACTACCCAAGCCGCTGGAGTCAAACATTGTTTTGGACGTTAAGCATGTGGCCTGCGGGGTCAAACATTCTGCTCTTGTTACAAGGCAGGGAGAAGTATTTATGTGGGGTGAAGAATCTGGTGGTCTACTTGGTCATGGTAAAGGAACAGAAGCTATTTATCCTTGTCTTGTTGAATCTTTATCAGCTGTTGATATTGAATTCACTGCTTGTGGTGAATTTCATACTTGTGCTGTTTCTACAAGTGGGGAACTTTATACTTGGGGCGATAGTGCTCATAAAGCAGGATTACTTGGTCATGGTACAAGTATTAACCACTGGTTTCCTAAAAGAATTTCTGGACCCTTGGAAGGGCTCCAAGTTTCTTCTGTCTCATGTGGAACTTGGCACACAGCGTTGATAACTGTGACAGGTCAGTTATTTACATTTGGCGATGGCACTTTTGGTGCTCTGGGCCATGGAGACAGAGAGAGCGTCTTTTATCCAAGGGAAGTGGAGTCTTTGATTGGTTTGAAAACAAGTGCTGTTTCATGTGGGGTTTGGCATACGGCTGCTGTCGTAGAGGTTATTGTAACACAATCTAGTGAATCCTCTGGGAAATTGTTTACGTGGGGTGATGGGGACAAGTATCGCCTTGGGCATGGTGACAAGGAATCACGCTTTAAACCTACCTGTGTGCCATCATTGATTGATTATATTTTTCTCAGGATTGCATGTGGTCATAGCCTTACAGTTGGCTTGACAACTTCCGGCCATGTTTTTACAATGGGTAGCCCTGTTTATGGACAACTTGGCAATCCTCATTCTGATGGAAAACTTCCCTGTTTAGTTCATGATAACCTTGTCAAAGAGTTTGTTAAAGAGGTTGCCTGTGGTTCTTATCATGTTGCCGTTTTGACGTCCCGTAGTGAAGTTTACACATGGGGTAAGGGAGCCAATGGACGGCTGGGCCTTGGTGACCTTGAAGATCGAGCAATGCCTACAATTGTTGATGCGTTGAAGGATAGACAAGTGAAACACATTGCTTGTGGGGCAAATTTCACAGCAGCTGTATGTCAACATAAATCGGTTAGTAGTACCGAGCAATCTCTATGCACAGACTGTAGACAAGCTTTCGGATTCACTCGAAAGAGGCATAACTGTTACAATTGTGGTCTTGTACATTGCCACTCTTGCAGCTCAAGAAAATCTTTGGGAGCTGCATTGGCTCCTAACCCTGGAAAAGCTTACCGTGTTTGTGATTCCTGTTACGTGAAATTGAACAGAGTCACTGAATCTGCTAAATCTAATGACAAAAGAAGTGCTTTACCTCGCTTTTTAGGAGAGAGCAAAAACCGCTCTAACAAAGCTGATTTTAAAAAGTCCAAGGCTGTTTCTCCTAGCAATTTGGATTTACTTGCAAACCAGGATACTAAGGCAGCTAAGCAAAGGAAGAAGACTGATGCATTTTCTTTGATTGGCCCTCTACAACTTACACCACTCTCGCAACTCACAGATTCTGCTTACTCTTTTTGGTTTGATACGCAATTAGAAAATTCTAGATTAACTTGCTTGTCAGAAGTTCAATCCATAAATCATTCACATGCTGTTTCTCCATTTTCTCAAAATCATAGCCCTCCATACTTTGCTACACCCATTCCTTCTACATCTAGTCATTTATTCTCTGAAAGTATTGCTGTTAGCCTGAAGAAAACAAATGAACTTCTAAACCAAGAAGTTCAGAAGATGCGAGGCCAGGTAAGATTATTGAAAATTTCATTTATGCATTACTCCTATATGAAATATTATGAAATGCTGTGATGAAAATTTAGGTTGATAACTTAAGACGTCGCTGTGAAATTCAAGAATATGAGTTACAGAAGTCGGCATCTGAAGTTCAAGAAGCCAGGGCACTTGCTGCAGAGGAATTAGCAAAGTCTAGAGCTGCAAAAGATGTCATCAAATCACTTACTCAACAGGTAATATTTCAATTCCCCTTCCCTATGCGCTTAAATTTTCCCTATTTATAATATCAACTCCTAACTATCTCTATTTACATTAATTCTACCTAAATCTCAAAGAGGACATCAAAACCCTGATTTTTTGCTTCCTGTAAATTTTCAATGATTTGGTTGTAGCACACATATATGAGTTTAGTTGTTCATTTTAAAAACATTGGTGGTTTTGTAAATAAGAAAACAAAACTTTGGCGGTATGTATATAAATCTTCCTAAAATCCTCTGACATGATTAATTCTGATTGTTTGATAGATTTATGACTTCTGTTATGTTAGTTGCTAGGAGAATTGCTATCATGATAGAGTTGGTGTCACGGAAATTTATCCTTCATGTTTGTGATCAATTAGCACTTGTCTAATAATTTGAATATGATATGAGTTCTTGTAAGTCTATATGTGATATTCACACTGTATTTTAGAGTTTTTCTGATCTCAAGTTACTTTAAGTCTGTCATCTTAGAAATTTTCAATGATATTGTGGTAACTTATAAGTTATTGTATATTGAAATGATAATTAATAGAAACGAAATGTGATATTAGTGGATAAAATTTAAAATATAAGATTGTTAAGGTGAGTATGTTAGTGACTGGATGATTTTTATTATAAATTAATAGTGAGTTAATTCTTATGATCCTAATGGAGTTGAAGATAGTTTGAAAAGCATTTAGTTGAAGAGATGATGACCCTAATGATAAGATGATGGAATTTGAGAGGAGAATTGTTAAGATTTCAAGATAAGTTATTAAGAGGCAAATAGATTTAATTTGCTTGAAGTTTTTGTATGTTGAAATGATAATTAATAGAAACGAGATGTGATATTAGTGGATAAAACTTAAAATATAAGATTGTTAAGGTGAGTATGTTAGTGACCGGACGATTTGTATTATAAATTAATAGTGAGTTAATTCTTATGACCCTAATGGAGTTGAAGATAGTTTGAAAAGAATTTAGTTGAAGAGATGATGACCCTAATGATAAGATGATGGAATTTGAGAGGAGAATTGTTAATATTTCAAGATGAGTTATTAAGAGGTAAATAGATTTAATTTGCTTGACCAAAATTATGATAAGATGGCTTGGTCTATTAAGAAGATTATCATAAAAATTTAGGAGAGTCCAGAAGCAAATTGTACATTAGTAAGGATATGTAATGATGGAGGAAGGACAAATGGTTATTAATGAAACGAAATGTGCTTTCCAAGGGAAACAAAATTTAAATACTATTTTTTCTTGCAGTAGTTTATGGAAGGTAGATGTCTTGGAAAGACTGTAATAAGGCCACAACAAACTTAATTAGGTTCCTAACACTGACTACATGGTGCAACCCGATTGGTCCACTTGTGTAGCATTGAACACTTGGTATGATAATTTAGAAAAATCGTTGTTAAATGTTTGTCAAGATAAGGGTTGACAGTTGACTCATGATATCTAATCCCGATATTTTTTATATGTAAAGATTTATGAAGTTGACACTACTTGGAAATTTTAATCCCCAACAATGGCGTCAAAAATTTGATCCCAAACTTGATCCCAAGCAAAGTAAGATTTCAATTATATTTTTAAATAGTAGATTTTCTTCACAAGTATATATATAGTTATCAAGTAATATAGGGTTTTTTTATTAAATATAGGACTTTTTTAGTAATATAGGACTTTTTTATTAAGCCCCGAATATTGATCCAACGGAGATCGAGGTTAATCACGGCGGCTTTCAAGAGAAGTTTTAGTCTAAAATAACACGCTTTAGCTTGGAAGGTCGATAACACGCCCTAGCTTGGAAGGTCGATAAAGGTTTGGTTTTGATTATATCATATAATTATCACTACAATACTATTTCTACTCCTAAACATAAATACTTAATGAAAATCAGAAAGTGGAGTTTAATATATTAAAAGTAGTCTTCCTCATGCAATGAAATTAGTAACATGCGTAAAAGTAAAACAAGTAGTGAGAGAGATTGTGACAAATAGGAGCAAATATATTCTTTACCCTCGGTCAAGTGATATAAAGAACATTGGCTAATTCATAGTTTAAGAATCCTAAAGATTGGTTAGGCAAGAGAGATACTAGCTCTCACTCTAGAGTCCCCCGTTCTTTCACCTTAAGGCTGACATCTAGTATTAAGACCTAAAACTATGAACCAAATTGAGGGCTTCAGCCTGTCACTCTAAAGTCCTCTAATTCTATACCCATCAAAAATTATTTCTCTATTTATTGACACTCAACTATATAAGTCCTCTAATTCTACACCCATCAAAAATTATTTCTCTATTTATTGGCACTCAACTATATGACTATGACTACATTCTCATCCATACAATTTCATGTGATTCTACCATAATTAATTGCGACAACACTATCACGGATCTTACATGTTCTCACAACAGATTTTAACATGCAAGTTGATCGAGTTTAAATGTAAATGAAGAATAAAGTAAAATCATCACAATACATTCTCACTCTACTCAATTTTATATCCTAAACATGCATACTAATTCATTATTAGAGGGAAGAGTAAAGAAAACTATTCACTACACATGGAGAAACAACAAAAACTTTTTATTGAACAAGACTTTGAAACCATAAAAACAAAGTACTAGATTCAAATAAAATATAATGAAAATACTTATCTTTGATGGAAATCAAACTCTCATTATATAGCAAAAACAATCTCCTTACAATTCTCTTCAAGAACAAAGTGAAAGAAAAGAAGAATTCTCTCACTCTCTCTCTTTCTTTCTCACCTTATCGCCCCACTCGGGGCTCTCGCTCAAGCCTTCTTCTTCTCCAAGCCTTCTTCTCCTCTTCCAATTAGTTCAAGAGTCATTTTAAAAACTTTTTCAAGTCTTATTTATAATTTTTCAAGAGTTGCTTAAGTGTCTCTTCAAAAGTCTTCAAAAACCTCCTTTTAACCGCCCCGAATCATTCTTTAAAGTCTCTTTTATCATTTCCAACGAATTTTTATCATTTCCAACGAATTCCCCAAGAGACACACAAAACACCACTTCAAAAATCGTCCAATTTCGATGTATATTCTAGAGGATATGTTGAAAACTATTTTTGGCACTTAAGCATCGATTTTGGCGCCCTCCTCTCTGTCTGGTGGCGCCAAAGCGCCATGTTTGGGCGCTTAAGCGCCGAGCGCAGGCACTTATGTGCCCGATTTCGATCCCCATGGCTCCGGTGTGCCCCGGTTCGACCCTGTTTGCTCCGTTTTTGTCCATTTTTGTTTCTTTTGCTCCAATCACTCCAAATTCTTCAATTTAATGTAACTAGAATAAAAAACACAAGAAAACACTCCTTTAAGGTGCAATATCATTATAAAATATAACATAAAAAATAATACATTTTTAGACACATTAAAATCCCCCGAACTTAAATCTTAAACATTATTTGTTCTCAAGCAATACTACATTTTTAAAATAATTTATGTATATTAGAGTTAATGGGTCATTCTTTAGAATTGCTAAAATTTTGTTCTAAAAATATAATAGTTCAAATAAGAAAAACTTCTAGTGAATCAGACTAGCCCAGGATCTAAAATATTTATCATTAAACTTCGGAATTTGTTTTCCTATCTAATTCAGAAATATATATAGATTTTTCAGACTTCGAATGCTATGAACTTTACTTTCTAGACTTAAGAACTCTCTTAAAAATAATTTTTACTAATATAAATATAAAAAGCATGCTTAGAATTGCTCTAAGTTCTTTACTCTAGAAAGACTCAAGTGAAACTAATTTTTAATTAGGACTTCTCCTCAAGCTTCTCCTCACATTTTTTTTGCCTTTTATTTTTTCTTTTCAAAATTTTTTTGATCCATCTTTTCTTTTTTTGTTATTTTCCTTCTTTTTTAATATGAGGACTACTATATATGTAGAAGTCCTTAATAATTTTGAATTCTACTATCATCCTCTAAAGTTAAAACTTATTACTTTCCTACACTTGAAAAGATGTATTTTGTTTAAATCTTTCTAAAAGAGCCTTAAATGTTTGAAAATAAAAATTCTAAGAATCTTTAATTTTTCAAAAATACAATTCTTCTTACTAAAGATAGTTATTCATTTTCCCAAATTCTCCACTAAAGATCCTTAACTATAGGTTCACCATTTTCACTAAAAATATCAACTCAGTTATCCTACTCCATTTCTATGCTTAAAATTCTAACATCCTTAAGGTGACTCCACATAACAATAATCATTAGAAATAAAATACAAATTTATTTGTAGTACTTTTGAAAACAAGTATGGTTTAAATTTGAAACATTTTTCTTCTCCCTCCAAACTTAAGCTCAAATATGTGTAACAATGAAGTAAAAAATATGCGGCAAGGAAATATCACTTTTACAATTTACTACACATCCTACAAAAATATCAAAAAATAACGCGTGGTAGAATATTGCAATAGAAAGTAAATCTAGCCTAAACATCCTTGACATAACACTGTAAAGGAATTTTAAATAGTAGATCAAGTACAAGCTGAAGATTAAACATGAACACATTTTAAACTTTATAAAGGAATTATTGGATGCTAACAAGTTTAAAATATTGAGATAAGTTTTGTCATCTCCATGACTCATTCAACTTGACTCACAAACATAGACACACAATTCCAATACATAGACTCACAGATTCATAAACAAACAACAACTAAGGTTAATTCAATCTCCATTCTACTCACATTTCTTCTCGTTACTTTCAATTTCTAACGGAAGAAAATACACTAATAACGTGGGTGTATTATAGAACTTTATATGGTTATCACCCATGGACTAAAATTTCCTCATGTGTTGACAATTTCAGGATTACTCTAAGTCAAAGGTATACACAATCTGGTAAATAAAAATAGTGCAATTCATCCAAATGTTGTTCACTAAGTAAGTTCATGACCTTACTCAGTAAAGATAAAGTTAGATAAAGGAAATAATACAATTGACATGGAGTGATCTAATTCCAAACTC